TACTTTTGAGACGCCGTAATGCGTTATTTTTACCGGACGATGACGAAAAAGAGGTTTTACCAACGCATTACCATACACATCCTCACATTTCACATCCCTCATTCTCAACCTTTATCATTTCACCGGCAACTCACAACTAATTGTTGTTAAAATTTGGTAAACAATGAAAAATAGGGCGATTTCACAGCCAAACATTGCACTTTTCAAATTATTTTGCAAAGCCAATTATCCATCGTTTTTCAGAATATTTATTGATTTTAGTGCCCACACACATTCGTACTCCTTCCCATTTATTACTTTTTGTTTTTTTAAATGTCTTTACCCTTTTTGTTGTTATTTATTCCTTGTGCACTTTCCCCCCGGTAAGTCTGCTGCCAGTGTCAGATCCGCGAAGAACTAGTAGCTTGCAGGGTTTTTTGAAATTCCAGCTTTGAAACAAATTTTTGAAATACAATGTATTTCACACTGTGAGAGCGTGTTTTTAGTATTTACAATCCCTACCATTTATAGTGAGAGTTCCTGGATCTGACACTTTCAGTACAAATCCTGCATCTCTGGTGGATGTAAATTAACTATGGGTTTTTTATTTCAGCGACCATATTCGCTGTTTTCGACTTTGGTTGATACGATCAAGGCCGCGAAAAGTAGTGACAGCATCGAAGATGCTTCGCGTAGCCCAACGCCACGGAAGCGAATGTCATCAGTGGTCGCGTAAGTTTGCCCCAATTAATTTGCTGCACACCCATATCCGTCTTCGTTTTTGGTAACTTCTGGAAAGATGAGCTAAAGTCACTGGTGATTTTTTTAAGTGAACTTCCATTAACGACGGGTTTTCGTTATTAGCCAGCTGGAATTTCAAAAGACGAAAAATAGTCATTAAATTGGCATTTAAAAAAGTGGAAAAAAACTTAGCATCGAAGAGCAGTAAAATACAAAAAAAAATATTTTCAAGAAGTAATTAAGTTGAAAATTTGAGGTTTTTTTATTGAGCTCTGTTTGTGAGTTTTCTAGACGTCATTGTTCCTCATCCTCGTTATATTTCTTTGTCCCCAGTCTAAATTTTCCACTAAAACAACTCATTTTTATTCATCGCTTTTATGTGCAGAATTCCAACTTAAAATTTGTTCAGAAAGCAAATTATGGATGTATACATATGGTCTCGACATATCCAAAAATTCGTATGAAATTTTTCTTGTGGGCGATATAACGTCCTATTTGCTGTAACAATTTTACACAACCCTATTCATTCCCTTTTTTCAGATAACCATTAATGACTACTTAGATACATACTCATTATGCTAGCATCTCACGTCACTTTTTCTGACTAACATGTTTCTGCTATATGGCATCATTTTCTTACGCATTTACTTAGCTTTATTTAACTCCTACTAACAAAGCTACTAGCCGAGCCAGCTCTGTTGAGCATTCTTTTTCCTAAACATTGCACGGCATTTTGCTTAAAATTACTTGCCTTTTTGAATTTCATCGAGAGCACTGTTAGCGGTCCTATTTTGAAGGAAGCTATCAGCTGCCCCGATAGTGAGGAGGAGCGCATCGATGAAAATACAGTTAGCTATAAATAGATTTGCTGACCAAATGTGCCGTAGTCCAGTAATAAAGTTCAGGATTTGCACAGAATTGGTTAGATGCTGGGTTGCTACACACATAACACTTTTGTTTTCCCAATTTTCTTCTTTTTTCCTTTAAGCATAAATATTTCAGGGAAAAGGTACCTGGTGGCCGTCGTCTTTCTGGGATAATATCAAAAATGCGTAGCCGTGAAAACAGCCTGCATTGCGGTCCTCCACAGCAGGTGATGCTTTAACAAAATGAAAGGCTTTAAAAACTCTGTTGACTGAGTGAGGAGGAGAGTTTCTTATTAGCAGATGACTTTCTGAACCATGAAAACTTGCTCTCCAACGTTTAGAAGCGTAGATAGAACGATTAAAAAAAGAAGAGTTTGGGCGTAGGCGGGAAAAGTTGCAGTAAGCAATGAGAGGTGATTCACTGCAGTATAGGTAAGTACGATTGTTCTTGAAAATTGGTGGTAAGTACACAGATGCGACTTATGTGCACGTGCGCGAAAGCGAAACAACACTATGAGTAGATGGTTGTTCGGTAATTTGGTGCAGTCCACTGAACACTCAAGGGATCCATAAATTGATATGACAAAGTAATGTGGCCATCTGATGGACGCTTCATCTACTTCCCAGTTGATATGACATCTCGCAGATAATTTTGTCGGACAGGCACCTTTTTCGATTTTTATGGGCACCTGCGTTTTTAATTTGGCGCTGCACTTATAAATTCACTAGACTTCTGCAAACCCGAGATTTTTGCTGGATGTATCCGAAATCATCAATAACAATAGTTCTGTAAGTTTTCTTAGATCATCGATCTAATAAGTATTCCGTTCTCACTGGATGTCAAATTCTAATTTTAGGAACTGTTTTCAATTTTTTTTTCAATATTCATGCCCTTATAAAAATTACCAGCATTTCCCCACGTCCAATCAAAATAAACTCGCTAAATGAAGTAAAGCAGGATTTGCTGCGGATTTTCGAAAACAGAACTAAAATACCGCGAAAAAACTTGCGAAGAATTGGCAGTTGTCGCGAAGGTATGCTGTATAAGGCCCAACAGGCCAGATGATAAAGAGTACATGGAGTGCCGTCTATAATGTAGACCATAGGTGCTTAAGCAGGTACGTGGCCATAAAGGCCAGTATGTGATCACATCGTGACCGACTGTGAAGAAGAGTGGTTCGATTTTTTCTAGCTCCATAAACATGGATTCCGTCCGCGACAAGATGCAGCGGCTCCATGAAAAAATTATTTCCTGATGTCTTTTGACTCGTTTAAGCATATTAGTTGGACACTTTAAGATTGGGTTTATTTAACCTCCTCTATGTGCTAATACTTTTATGAGCAGAAGCATGGGCGCAACTGCATTGTTAAACCACCTGATTAAATGGATTTAAAATGATCAGTTTGTAGCGTTACGCGAACGGTGACTTGTTCTGGAATCCGTTTGAAAATGAAAACGCGGAGTACGATGAGGTAAACAGATAAATAGCTAGATGGATGTTTGCTAGAGGCAGCGCGCCTTACATCCTATTGCTTCATTTGCTTTTACAAGCTTTTGTCGTGCTTTTAATTAGATGTGTTAAAATAGATGTGGGTGTTTTAGATGTTCTTTACAGATTATTTGCTTTTACATAAGCACTTTAGCCATTTTTCATCAGCCCTCCACTGCTTTTTTGCATTCTAGATTTAGTCGGTTGGCAGAAAAATATTTGAATTCTCCCACAAATTCTGCCTGATCATCATGGCAGCAGAGAAGTCGTGGAAAGAAATTTGGAGATTCAAAAATTTCTCGAATTCTCTGATGTGACATGGCTTTAGCGTTTTAGACTCTTCGAACTTCTAACATTTTAACAGACCACATATGGCTGAGACGGCCTTAACGAACTCGACCAATTTTGTTTGGGCTGTAGAAACAGCTGGCTAATTGCTCATGAAAGCAAGATGTGCAGAGAACAGGATTTGGGGATTTGAAATCAGAAAGTAAGGGGATATCGAACAGTCAAATTAGCATGGCACAGTGTGTTCTCGACAAACATAACGATACGTAACCAACTTTAAACAGAAGGGTTCTGTGTTTTTGAAAAACATTGCTAACGAGCTTTTGCGAATATACTTCACTGTGCTCACATTTTTCAAAATGTTTTTTCAAAAGTTGTTAAAAGATCGATTAAGAAGGTAATAATGAGCTGAACACGGCAAGCTTGAGTGCTCGCTTTAGATATCTGCATGATATTGCACAGATCCATTGAGGACGACCGGTTCGTGTGGAATTGTAAGATTTACAGTCTACTTTCTCGAGAAAAAGGCTTGAAATTTCTAGTTACCGCATTTTGCCAGAGTATTGTGCCACGTCACTGGCACATGCCAGAATATGTTTTAAACTGAAATTTCACGAATAACTTTGGAAAATACTAGTTAAAACTTGCTTTCAGGCTCAGCAGCTGTTGACGCCGGAACGATCACCTCGTTATGAAAGTAATGTCCGACGCGTTTCGAGCCCCAGTTCGATGAGTGACGATTACTCGCGCTATCGTATGTTCAAAAACTTTTGATTAGAATTTTTATGACATGGCAAAAACTTTATGGAAAGAGTTTACAAAAATGCTGTGGAAAGCAGCCTTCAAATTCAAGTAATAAGAAATGGTAAATAGGCAAAGGTCATTATTGGACAGCTATGACAATTACAAACAATCAAGATAAACGGCGATCCAAGTGTAAAGCTGAACAAAAGAAAAACAGTAGAGACAATAACTTCCCCCAGTTACGGGACTTTTTTTTTTCAGGCTAAGTTTTTTATGCGTTTTTTGCAGCTATGCAATGCAAAAAACGCATACTGACGAGGCGTTGTCTGTGTGTCTCTGTGTATCTTTGTGTCTGTGTGTGCGTCTGTCACGGTTTTTCATCTCAAGATCTACAAAAGCTACAGGGCTAGAACTTTGGGAACTAAATCTATATGCACGTACGGGCCCCAGTCTCCAAAATGGGCGTTATTACCCGCGTGGTACCCGCGCACGCGCCTGCCAAAATTTTTTTGGAGTAAGTTCATAACTCGGGGATCTGAGAAGCTGGGAAACTGAAATCTTAGGAGGATCTTTCCAGTCCAGATAGGTATTAATGAGCTCAAACCCAGCCACCGAGTAGACGTGGTACCTCCATACAGACCCGCCAAAATTTTTTTCGGGTAAGTTGATAACTCGAGTAGCTGAGAAGCTAAAGGATTGTAATTTTATCCCCGTCCACCTAAGTTCCATTCAGCTCAAACCCAACTCTCGGGTACACGCACGGGCCCATGAAAGTTTTTTTTCCAGTAACTTGTTAACTCGGGAGCCAGGGAAGCTAAGAAGCTGAAATTTTAAAGGAATGTTTTCTGACAGTTCTGGCGGCCAGTCTTAATTTGTTTAGCTAGAAGCATTTGCCGAA